TATTTATCCATAGTTTTCTTTGAATACTTAGAATTAATTATTATAGGAATTACTACACAGTCAAACTGTGGAAATCTAACCATTTATTTCGCCATTTAAATAAATGATCATAAAAATTTGATAGATCTTTTCAAAAGCATTCATCAAATATTATTGTCTAATTGAGAACTAGTGAATCCTACTTATCTGTATTCTTATAAAGCTATCCACTGATAAAAATGAATGTAATCCATTAACTTCACTTGGTATTGTTTGTTTGAATCTTCCCATTGATGTTTAGGATTGTAATTGATCAATCTCTTATTGGCATATAGGCATCCTGTGCATATTGCCTCGATGTTGCCTTAATTCACAAGCATTATATGTAAAGATGGATAGTTAACGGTACTGAGTTTCAGTCCAAGAGGGAACATCAACTCTGAGGTGCAGGTACATCCAGATGACGAGTCCCAAATAGGACGAAGTGGCAGGCGTTCTGGATTCCACTGCTAGCCACTATCCACTAACGTTTGCTAATGCAAATGAATAACATGATTCGTTCCAAACATTAATAAGTGTGCACAGTTATAAATGTGCTTTGTCAAAGACTATTGTAATAAAAGTAATCTACTGTACCTTAGGTATTTTTCTCAGAGATTATCAGTAACTACCATACTAAATAATTTTTATCATAAGTAACGTTTTAATGACCGAATATAAATGATGTTGATTGTTATTCAGTACACTACATCAATTCATCAACCTTATTGATTAATTTGTAAACAGAAAATGTAATACATAAAATTACACAATAAAATATTGACCAACATACTATTGTGGTGTATGCTACTTATATCGAACTAAGTAGTACATATTGCAGTGTCAGTTATTATATTAAGCCCATATACCTTACTCTAGCTTTCGGACATCCCATTCTATTCATTCTACTTGAGCCATACTTTGACCTTGTTATTTATTCGCTTATCAATCTAGACTATTTTTATATGAGCGTATATATGTGTGCCCTTCTTATCCTATTAATCACATGTCTGTAGCTTTATTTTGTCTGACTATAAATATTGAGTAACGCTTGACTAAAATGGAATTGGCTTCCCAGCCATCCTCCCTGCGTGTCATTTTGCTCTACTCTGTTTCATTCGCTTCATATACAAATTATATGTATTCTCAAGTCAATTCTCGTTATTCAACTTATTTAATTCCGTTATCGACTAATGCGATTTAAGTCAACGATTATATACGAGAATAGGCGTTAACAAACATTCGTAAGATCTAAATAGGAGTCAGATCCACGGGCCACTAAAATGGTGAGCCCTTCAACGAACATCGTCCGATCAAAATGACGGCAAATAAGAGGGCCACGTTAAATTGGTGAGCCCTTTCGACAACGTCGTTCGATCTAAACGAAGACAAAACGACGGGTCCCGCTAAAGTATCACTAATCAGAAGTGGAATGTCTGGTAGCAGAAGTTTGAGATCAAATGTAAAAAGAACATGAACAAAGTGTATTTATAATATAAATAAAAGAACTATAAAGTTTGTGATTATTGATGAAGGATTTGTAAATAAAGTATTGGATATATATGGTTTTTACATTTTAAGAAAGAACTCTGTAATTTTAATATACATTGATTGTCCCCACTTGTATTATCGTTCACAACAACATCAATCCGTCCAGAGCTTCCAGATTTTCAATGGTCGTCTAACATCAATCGGTTCATGATCTTAATTAAAAATTTAATAATCTCCACAACCCCTATACTGATGATTACTATGTTCGCACTGGTGACTAACTTCGTGAGGGAATTCTCGGAGTTCTAGTAAGAAGCCGTGATCAGTGGAGCTAATTCATGTGAGGTAGAGACAGTTATCTACCTCAGTACAATGGGAGATGGTCGCGCGATTTCATGGAATGGTTGAACTTATACATTAACTTCGTTGAATGTCTAGTAACTTGAGCGCTCACGCGCGAAAATGAAGGCTATGGGTTCGAATCCCGCGAGCGACATTGTGGATGCGCACTTCTGAGGAGTCCTAGAATAAGACGAAACGGTCGTCTAGTGCTTCCCGGCTTTCAATAGTGGTCTAGCCTCAATCGGTTCATGATCTCAATCAATAATCAATCATTTCTATCTCATTCCTGTCTGGTCTATAATTCCGAGGAAAAAGTGCAAGTGATTTTCAGTGCGATGAAAAATTTTGTATAAAATCTATATTTTATTATTTAAAAAAAATGAAAATACAAACACGCTAAAGAAAAGAAATTGTCAGGAGATCATTAAACAGAAGCAACAAACTGTTATTTAGATAAGAAAAGAAAAGAAAAGAAAAACACATATGCAAATGTTAATTCTACTCAATAGAACTATGTCATTTCATCATTTTTCTCTCATTTTTTTCTTCTTTTTTTTCTTTGGGCTATTTATATCTACTAGAATTTAACTAAATTTTTTTTCTTTTTTTCTTTTTTTTGTTTTTCTTTTTTTCCCCATTAATCATTGAGCATTGTACAATTTAATTTTAGTTAATAATTACTTTATTCCATGATCAAAAATCATGAGATTCGCTTTTCTTTGTTTTTTTCTGTTTTTTTTTTGTTTTTTTTTTAACTTTTTACTCATTAATTATCAATTGAGTGAATGAGAGAAAAAAATTACGAAAAGTAAAAGCAAAAAGAAAAACTGACGATTTTATTTTTATTGTTTTTTTTTCAAAAAAAAAAGAAAAATAATAATAATTACTCTGTTTTGTGATGTTTTTTTTCTGTTTTCCTTTTTTAATTGCGAGTTAAGTGTTGATCATTATGGTTTAAGCTTAATTGTTCATATTCATTCATTCATTGTGTTTAGATTATTATTATTATTGTTCTTTTAACTCAAATAAAGAAACAAAAACAGTTTCAGTAGAATATATGGATAAAGAAAATAGGGAATAGAATAGTTGAAAAGAGTTGATCATTTTAATAGTTAAGATCAGAAGTCAACTGAAGCTAGATCACCAGAGAAAATCTGGAAACACTGAATGGCTGTTTCATTCTATCGTAAGACTCCTCAGTAGTTAACATATACGATCTCATCGCCCGAAATTCGAACCCAGGATCTATCATTTTCGCGCGCGAACGAGAAATTACTAAATTACTCACAAAAGCACTTCTTATATTAGTCAGCCTATGCTCACTATTGACTGGCATCAAGATATGTTTCCTGGAGTTCTAGTAAGTAGCAGTGACCACAGTTGTTCACCCAGGTCGGTTGTGAGATAGAAAGTACCTCACTGAAGACAATGCTAGATGTGTCGCTCAATTTCGAGGATTGGTTGAAGTTAGATATTAACACCGTTTGATGCCAGTCGGCTCAGTAGTCTATAGGTCTAGTGTTCGCGCGCAAGACCAATAGATCCTGGGTTCGAATCTTACGAGGTGGGATTGTTGATGTGCACCGCTGAGGAGTCCCACAATATGACAAAACGGCCTTTCAGTGTTTGTAGGTTTTTCATGATGGTCCAGTTTCAATTGACCAATGATCTCGATCTTTGAAATTAATTGAAAATTATCAGCATGCTTTTCAAATAGAACTGAGCTGTTTAAAATTCATTCATTTGAATTATGATTCGTTTTGATCATCTTCAAGTTGTTAGTATTTACATTATCATATTTATCTATATTGAAAGTTTACCTATGGATGTTAGACTTCTGTTAAAATGAAAATAGTTTTGGTAACCTTTATTTATTCTTTTTTATTATCATAGTGTGATGATGAAGATTTCACTCCACTTATCCGTAGTTTGAAACCACATTGTATATTGTTTCTAAATATTCCAAGGTAAGTGAATCATTACCATGGTGAAAAGTTACTGATTATTATTATTTGTTATATCTCGATGCTTATATTCTTGATATACCGCGTATAACTTAAGCCCTAGAACGCTGAAACCCTTCTAAGTCGTAATGAGAAGACAGAAGACTATTGAAAGAATTGTTATTCCAGACAGTGTCAATTATAGTACAAAACTGTCAAGTATTAATAGGTTTTAGTAAGAAACGAAATCATCATTACAGTCCTCCAATCCACATACAGGAGGTTATTAGCATTGTCCAATCGGGCAGCTACACGTAGGGATTCTAGAATATTCTTCCAAAAGGTGATTGGATGGAATATCCTCGGCTCTTTCTGAGCTTCTTACAGCTTCCTCGAGTTCACCTATGGACCGTCCTCACATTATTATTATCGTTATTATTCGTTATCAACTATACAAAAGAAACTGACAAGGAATGTTTTTAACCTACCCTTATTTTTGAAAATAACAGTAAAACTTGGCCTTTATTATAAATCAGTATTATGGTACTTTTTGTGGAAATTGAAGATCACGTGAATATTTATATATTATCAGTTAAAGTCTTAAATGATCAATGAACTTTACTGATCCTTTGAATTATGTAATAAGACTTTGTTTCAATGTAATCCAATTTGTGATAATTAAATTTCAGTATGATGTTAGACGATGATACTGAAGTGTTAATGACTTCAGGAAAAACACTTACTGTTAATCAGGTTATTTGGTATTAGGCCTTAAAGTGCGTAAGTTTACATAAAAAGTGTTATGTCTCAAGGTGACAGCCGACTATATGACAGTGACTTATCGATCGGATCAAGGATTCAGAATCTCGATAGACTATTCTGGTCCGTTGTCCCCAACTCTGCTAACTCGATCAAGAAGTCTGCGTAAGGTGTAGAAAGTGTATTCTACAGACAAACAGCAGATAACAAGTCAGGCAGGCAGATCAGATCAAGCATACAAGTCAAGCGTATTTATACAATTATTTACAATCGATATTGTCATGGAAGATTTTTGAACATTAATCAACAATTGACTGCTATTTGAACATTTAATCGATAGTTCATCAATTGACCTATTTGTACATTTAATCGATAGTTCATCAATTGACCTATCTGAACATTTAATCGATAAGTAAATTACAAAATTTGAGTTTTGGGGATCTATCGTCCCCAACACTCCTCCCCTTTTTAGAAGATCCGGAGTTGATATCCGGATTTTAAGTTTTCCAGGTCCATCCTCCCCCACGAAACAGTGTTGGATCCTCATATGCCCACGTTATAATTAACTTGAATTTATTTAAGACATATTTATCGCACTGAACAGAGAATTGACTGAAAGTGACTAAGTCTTGAGGCTGAACGACACTTGATATGAGGTGTTCGAAGTTTAATTCTTCTGAAATATTGTGACCAAATTTATTTGGAATCTTATTTGTAGATAATGGATCATCAAGGTAATTAGCATCTATCAAAATTGTATTAAGTTTTTGATCATCATTTGATGCATCTGACATATTTTCTGGTAAAAGAGAATCTTGATAATAAGATTTGTCAAAAACATCTGTCGCAGACTGATGAGAACCATTTGAAGCAGTTGTATTCAGTGTACTGCTCGATTTGTTTTCTGTTTCATGGGTGGTTATTACGACAATTCTATGAGCATTTACCAGGGAGTGTGTTTGTGAGCTGGATAAGTCACCGTCTGCACATGCTGTTTTGGGGATAATGGAGTTTGAGTCCATTACCGGGCATGTTTCTGGAATGGAGAGGACTGGACCACTGGGCGAATCTTGAGTGACTGTTGTACCGTTTGAAATACGGTTTATCGGGGATTCATTGGGGCTGCAATCATTTTCCAGCTCTGTGTGCAGTTGAGAGATCAATCCATCCACTTCCGTTGCATCTCCAAAGCATGAGTGATTTAACAGCTGCGTGCGTAATTTGACTAAAAACTCCAACTGTCTTTCAAATAGCAGCTGTACTCGATCGGAAGGGAGAGTCATTTTTTTTTATTCAGCACCGGTAATGCAAATTACTGTTTGATTAATGACCAATGTTGCTGAAGGACACTGATGACAAATCTGGATGCTGAAGGCTGACTTTGGATTGTTCTTTTTTTTTACCCCGTCGCCAATTGTTATGTCTCAAGGTGACAGCCGACTATATGACAGTGACTTATCGATCGGATCAAGGATTCAGAATCTCGATAGACTATTCTGGTCCGTTGTCCCCAACTCTGCTAACTCGATCAAGAAGTCTGCGTAAGGTGTAGAAAGTGTATTCTACAGACAAACAGCAGATAACAAGTCAGGCAGGCAGATCAGATCAAGCATACAAGTCAAGCGTATTTATACAATTATTTACAATCGATATTGTCATGGAAGATTTTTGAACATTAATCAACAATTGACTGCTATTTGAACATTTAATCGATAGTTCATCAATTGACCTATTTGTACATTTAATCGATAGTTCATCAATTGACCTATCTGAACATTTAATCGATAAGTAAATTACAAAATTTGAGTTTTGGGGATCTATCGTCCCCAACAAAAAGAATAGCATGAACACTTCATTTTGGAATCTATGGTTTCAATACCCCCCAGGGATTCAATTACAAAAAGTCCAATTTATAACATATATATGATAATGTAACGTATTAAGACTCCTTGCTAGAAAGTTTATGAATAATTGATAACAAGTTTACTTCTTATTTGATGAATAATAATCATTGTCAGTTCCATCTTATGAAGTAATAAGACTTACCTAATACGAAAATCAATAAAATTGTTCATTGAGTTATGTCTGTCCAAGAAGTTTCATTTGAACACATAAACAAGTGATATAAGTTCAAGAGTCCTCTAAAAGTAGGAGACGGGATGAAAACCCCATAGAGAAATGATTCTGGCATACAATTCGAAAATATTTGGTTTCTTCTATGATATGATCGTCGTTTTTTAGCTAGTTGGTTTTCTTCGGGATGGGGTCACTAACCCCATGCTCAAGAAGAAGCGCTGCATGTAGATAGGACAAACATTGAGGAAAGCACCCAGCCGCGTTACAAGGCAAGCCCTTACATGGAATCCTCAAGACCAAAGGAGAAGAGGAAGACCAAAGAACACATTACACTGAGAAATGGAGATAGACATGAGAAAAATGAACAAAATTGGATAGAACTAGAAAAGAAGGCCCGTAACAGAGTGTGTTGGAGAATGCTGTTCGGTGGCCTATGCTCCATTGTGAGTAACAGGCGTAAGTAAGTAAGTAATGATATGATCGTCTCGAGTGATCTGTTGTATGCCTGAGTTTTATCTAATGGGTTTCGATCACGTCTCCTACATATAACAGACAGTATGTAGATCCGAGTCTTTGACACCAGTTCATGTGTTCTGAAGGAATTCTTAACACCCATATCTCTTTATTTACGGGATATGACCTAATAAACTATCTTGATAACTTTTTCAAATCTAGTGTTTATTTGAGGTTCTTCATCTCATTCAGTTTGTACTCTTCACTATCTGGCCACTGACATATTTTGATAACCATAAAAACGCAGATTCCTACTTGCATGTTTTTATCTTATTTTCGATAGATATGGATCTGGCACCTTACCATGGGGTCAGCCAACAGAAGAATTCCAACCTCAAAGAATTGATGATGGATATATTGAAGTCATAGGTCTTACATCGACGTCATTAGTAAGTTGAAGTACTTTTATATCCTGCCTGTTGTTGTAGCGTTGAAAAATATCAGAATATTAGAAATGCTTCTATTTTTCTGTTGTTACGCTAACATTAATCAGTTCATGATCTCAACCAAAAACTTAGTATTCTCCACAACACCATACTGATAACTACTATGTGCTCAATAGTGACTAACTTCGTTAGGGAATTCTCGGAGTTCTAGTAAGAAGCCGTGACCACTGGAGCTAATTCATGTGAGGTAGAGACAGTTATCTACATCAATACAATGGACGATGGTCGCGCGATTTCGTGGATTGGTTGAACTTAGACATTAACACCATTGGTTGTCGGCTCAGTGGTTCAGTAGTTTAAGCGTTTGCGTGCGAGACTGAAGGCCCTGGGTTTGAATCTCGCAACCGGGGTCGAGGATGTGCACTTCTGAGCAGTCCCATATTAGAACGAAATGGCCGTCCAGTGCTTCCAGATTTTCAATAATGGTCTAACATCAATCGGTTCATGATCTCAATTTAAAACTTAAATTAGAATTTCGCAATGGAAATACTTTGAAACCTCTTTGACATTAAATTAATTATGGACTGTCTAATAAAATGTATCAACACAGGTTGCTAATAGCGGAATCAAACAAAATAATGAAAAATTGACATAGTGTATATCCTTGAAAACAGTGATAAAACAAGTGATGTCATGATACATCTTTCATAATTCTTAACAATATAAGAAATAAACTTATTTAAGATCATCTTAAACAACACTGACAATCTACTGTGATTCGTTGAATTGAGTAATCAATAATTAGTCCAAAATCTGGTATTTGTTTAGCCTTTAGTCTTATTTGGTTTCTGTTAGTCATTTCAAACGTGACCACCAGTTTAAATGAACAGATAATAAATACTATTATGATTGCTAGACAATGTAAATACGTGAATTTTGGTCAGTTGTGGGTTCAGTAGATCAGTGGTCATGTTAATAACTGAGACATTGAGTGACATTGTTTCGAATCCCATTCAAAGTATAAGTTTCTGTAAGCCTACTTACGTTATTGACAAGTCTCCATAAGCACAATTCTTAGTTTCAGATATTTCGCTTGAACAGTATCAACCATGTAGTATAGTAACTTATTTACTTGGATAACCATGGAAATACAGTAAGCACTAGGTAGTTATTTTGTTACAATCACCAAAAAATCCCTGTACTAATAATTGTCATATGCTCACTAGTAACTAATTTTGAGATTGTTCTAGAGTTTTAGTAAGAAACTATGACCAATGCAGTTTAAAAGCATCCAGTGTGAAGTAACTACCCACCAAGTACATTTGAAGACGGTTGAGCTGTACTATCGATTTGTTGAAATTGAACATGTAAACCATTTATCCCTAGCTCAGTGATCTAGATATTAAACGTTCGCCGCAAGATCTAAAGATTCCATGTTCGATCTGTGGTTAGGGTCATGTATACTCAATGCTTAGAAGTCTGTTAGTTATCAACTACATATGATGAGATTGTGATTTCTAGGTTCCAAAATGTAATATTTAGTTTTATGTGGTTATTTAGTTAAAATTACTTCATGATAAAGACTAGATTATCTACATAAAAGAAACACATTACTCAATATACATGAAGTTGAGAAACTCTTTAGAATTCATTTTCAAACATCCAATCGTTTATAATATTTTGCTTAAATTACACATTGAAAATTACATTTGTTTTTTCAATGCATATATTGTTACTAGGCAACTTTACAAATAGGTGGACATGGTGATCGAATTTGTCAATGTCGTCGTGTACATCTTACAACAGATATTGTTATCCCTATGCAAATGGATGGTGAACCATGTCGTTTAATGCCATCAAAAATTGATGTATTCTGTTCACATCAAGCATTAGTCATACAAAAATTAACACGTTCACCTATCTCAGCTGTAACACTTAACGAGTAAGTTTATTTGTAATATTTTTTTAATTTAAATGATTTTGATATTGTTGGGGACGTTAGATCTCCAAAACTCACTTGGAAACGAACCTAATTTTCCTTTTTCCAAGTGAGTTCTAGGAATCTCACGTCATTCATTAAAGATTATTCTGGTAATCAATGGAAATGAACAACAATATTAATTAGAATGATAACTTACGATTTGTTTTTAGTAATTAGTATCCAACATTGAAGAGATTCAACTTTATTTAATCTCAAAAACTTATAGAATTCTAAAGAAAATATTTGCACTGTGATATTATAAAGTAAAGATAATGAATAAAATGCTTTTACTCCTAGTTCAGATAGATCTTATTAGAAGTTAAGCGTTCGCACGCAAGACTGAAGGCCTTGGGATCGAATCCCACGAGCGGGGATACACACTGCTAAGGAGTCCCACAGTAGGACGAAACGTCCATCCAGTGCTTTCAATTTTTCAATAGTGGTATAGCATCAGTTGGTTCAGGATCTTAATCAGAAAGATCTTGTTAGAATCATTATTTAATGTAAATATATTTCCTTTTTTTACGTGAACTCGTATTTAACTCATGATACTAATGATACATTGACTGAAATGTACACTTGTATAGTATAAGTCGTATGAAATAGTCAATATTTCATTTACATCACTATCAGATCGTGATCTCCCAACCTTATTTTGACGATAATCAATAATTCAAATATAAATACTGTGAAACGTAGGATTCAATGAATAATTACTTACTTACGTACTGACTTACTGCTGTTCCTCCCAATGGAGCATAGGCCGCCGATCAACAGTCTCCAACCCACTCTGTCACGGGCTTTCCTTTCTAATTCTATGCTATCCTTGTTCATTCTTCTCATGTCTTTCTCCGTTTCTCGATGTAATGTATTCTTTGGTCTTCCTCTCCTACTTTGGCCTTGAGGATTCCATGTAAGGGCTTGCATTGTGATGCAGTTGGGTGCTTTCCTCAATGTGTGTCCTATCCACTTCTAGAGCTTCTTCCTGATTTCTTCTTCCACTGGAATCTGGTTTGTTCTCTCCTATTGTGGGTTGTTGCTGATAGTGTCTGGCCAACGAATGAGAAGTATATTGAGTAGACAACTGTTAATAAACACATATATCTTGTATCTTGTAACTCGCTAAAAAAAACGCTAACTAGAAAAAGATAATTCAATGAATAATAGAGTAGTTATGATACAGGGAAGTACCTAAATATAAACTAACTTTTTCTCTGATTAGTGAACGTTTACAGAAAAACAAACAAACAAACAAGAGTTTGCTTCAAGGTTTAAATAGAAACCATTTAGAAAACTTAGAAAAACTTATGACATGTAAAGCCACCGTCCACATTAAAGTTTCATCATATCTGTACTGATAATTTCTCTTGATTTCG